CAGCAGGTCGGGGCCTCAGCAGTGCCTCTAAGGAGACTGTCTGGCGACCACTTACACAGGTGGCTGGCCCATGCATCCTGCGGAGCCAGGGAGGGGACCCGTGCTGGCCGGGGAGGGCTGGGCAAGGATTTCCACAGGGGCCATGTGAACTCTGCAGGGGACCAGCCTCAGTGGGACTGGATGGTTTTCTCCGGGAGTTTTCTGGGTCATAGGTTGTTTGACAAAGAGTCATCAACCTCTGAATGAGTTTCAGCAGCTTGTGACATTTGATTTATGATTGCAGCTTTCCAAATAAATCCCAACTTCTGGTATGGAATTCACCCAAGGACGCTCGGAGGGCTGGGCCTCTCCTGGGTGACAGGGAGGCGGGTGGGAAAGGACTTGTCCTGCGGCCATGGGCCGGTCACTCCACACGGGCCCCACGGCCGTGAGGACCCGGGCCAGGGGCATCAGGAGCAGGCTGGCCTCTGGGGGGCTGTGGGTTCCCCTCCCCCACCCTGTGGTGCGGGCACTGTGTCACCTGTCACAGCAGCATGACTCACAGCTCTGCAGCAGTTTTATTTTTACTCTCCCTGGGCTCACCTTCTCTCTTGCTTTCCTCGCTGGGGGCGCCGGCTTACGAAAGGGCTGCATTTCAAACCCGGGATCTCACGGGGACCCACAGCTCCCCTAAGACCTTGTTGTTGGGTACTGAGGGCGAGTGCTGAGCTCCAATCGGCAGTGTTCAGAGATCACCTAACCTTGCTTCGGATTCTCCCTCCAGCCACCCGTGTCCCAGCGGCCAGGCCAGAGGGTCAGGTCGGGCCGAGTCGCAGGGAAACCAGAAAGATTTGCGTGAGTCCCACTGGATCACGGCTGTGGGAGTGCCGAGGGCACCCTGGAAAAGCTCCTGGCCTTTCCCCCGGCGATGGTCCGGCTCCTCGTGCAGCCTGGTGGTGGCCAAGAACCTCGGAGAATGTCAGAGCCCCCGTGGGGAGTTCGGTCTGGGTGCTGGACTTCACGCTAAGACACGTGAAGAAAATGGTGCCAGGATCACTTGGCTTGTTGGTGACCCTGGGGCACACCAGCAGCCCTTGCGAAGGACCCGGCAGCCACTCCTCCACCTGGTTGGATAGAGTTAGGACCTCCCTCTGCTCGCGGTCAGTCGACGTCAAGATGCCCTGTTTTCATAGCAATGCCGTGCTTTGTGATTGCCAGGTTGGCAACATAAAAGCCTTCCTTGAAGAATAAATATTCTCAGACTTTTGTGTTTTAAATATTCATCTGTACCAGGGAGATCCTGTGCCCGTGCCTGCGTGGCAGGAGGCCTCTGGTGGGTGCTGCGCTCACAGCCGGCCGCCTCCTTGCAGGCACAGCTCCTTCCTGCGGCGCTTAGGTTCCTGACAAGGAGGCATATAAACCACAGGACCATGGGGGCCAAATTGCCTTTTCCTTTTACCTGTGACGTCGGAGGTGTCTCTCGGGCGGGGAGCGTGCCCACAGCGCCACACAGCGACATGAATCCGCTGTAAGAATGCAGCAGACTGGTCTCTGTCAACCGTAATCCAGGAACCCCCAGCTCACAACCTCATCTCTGGGCCCAAACCTTGCAAAAAGTAGCACCCCCCCCCCCCCCCGCTTCTTGCTTTATCTTCCTCCCAGGCACCTGGCACCATATTTGTTTGCTGGCCTGGAGTCTGGTTCCCCACAGTAGAGTGTCCACTCTGGGAGGACCCCTCCCTGCCTTCCTCCAGGGTCGAGGACAGGCCTGTGGTTCCCGCAGCGGCCTCCGACCTCGGCTCACTCAGTGGGTCCCAGCCTCCCGCGCAGACCTGTGGCCAGAGCCCGCAGTCAGATGGTGCCAAGACCCAGGACTGAATGGCCCGAGAAGCAGAGCCTCCTCTGCAAGGTGGGGGTGCTCGGAGGCCCCCCAGGAGCCGTGTGCAGGACAACAGGGCCCTGTGAAGCTGCAGGTCTGCCCGGAAGAGGTGGACGGTCAGAGGAGAAGGGGGCGAAGACCCGCAGGACCCAGGGGCGGTGACCTACATCCGCGGGGCACACAGGGTGTGCGTGCCGGATGGCAGCTTGGCCCCCAGGACTCGGGCTCAAGCCCACGAGGAGCTGGGCCGAGGCTTTGCGCCCACTTGTGTCAGCAGGCCCTGGACTCAGGCCCTTGGGCGCTGGGACACCCCCACCGAGGGTGCGGACCAGCCTTACCCTGGGCTCCACCCACCTGGGGGCCCAGTCCCTCCCTGGGTTGAGCACACATCACCGCCGACGGCTGAGGGGTGGGTGCTGCCCCGCAGCAGCTCTGACTTCGGTGCAGCAGTGGGAGATTTGGGAGGAGAGTCCAGTCTGCGAGCGTTAAATCCAAGAGTTGAGAGGAAAGTCCGAACGCCCACCCCCCTGCCGGGGGCCCGTCCCCCAGGCTCCCCCACGTGCTGTGCTCCTGGCCCTCCTGGGCGGCTGGCTCCTGTCGGTGAGACCCGCCCGGGCTCAGCATTCTGGGGAACTTCACAAACTTCAAAACTTCATCAACACGCTTCTACTGGACTCTGGATTTCTGCATGATGGTGGTGTGTGCATCAGGTTTGGGTGCATCGGCCTAATCACAGTGTGGCACTCTCTGCCACATTGTGCTGGGCGCCGGGACAGTTAGAGGAGCTCCTGGCCCTGCCCAGAGTCGGTCCAGGGCCTCATGGGGGGGACGGGACCCAGAGCAGCTGCTGGGCCTGCATTTCCACCTGGAGGGTCTCGGGAGCAGGTGCGAGGCGCTGTGTGTTGACTGCAGCCCGGGCACCAAGGTGAGGAGGTGGGCCGGTGGGGTGCCCCGAGGAGCCCCCAGGCACCAGAGGACAGAGTGATCCTGGTTACCGGGTGGGGCTGAGGCTCCGGGCCAACAGCTCCTCCGAGCAGGCTCACTGTGTGTGTCCGGAGTGGCCTTGTTCACAGCTCTGGCCGCCGCGGGATGCATGCCCTGCCCAGCCCTGGGCCTGCCCGGAGCTCCTCCCAGCTCACTGGCCTCACAAGGTGCAGCAGCTACGTTTGGGGTTCCCGTCCCGCCCGTCTGCCCTGTGAAGCTCCCAGGTGGCCGACTCAGTGTCCTGTCCGCCGTCTGGGAATCGGTCGTGTGCCCCCTCCCGCCCCGGGGTCTCAGGAAGTGGGGATGGTTGTGCTCAAAGCCACAGGCGCCGTGCAGTAGGGTACACACCCTCCCTTCCCTTCCCTGAAAGCAGGCCCGGGAGAGGCCACAGGGCCAGGCAGCATGGACCCAGGCCGCAGCTCCCCCCGCCCCACGTCCATGCCTGGCCGGCCTCCAAGCGCCTCTTTCCCCCGGATTCTCCGTGATACCCTCACTTTCCAGCATGTGAAAGCAGAGTGCGAGGCACGGTGTGGATTTCCTCTGCGTCTGACCTACTGCTTGACATGCCCTCTGTTCCCACCCTCTTCCTGTGCTGGAAAGGTCTGAAGTTTGGGATGTGTGTCTTCCTCTGAACTCGGTGATTGCCTTGGTTGAGCCCCCTGCTAACCCTCAGCCCCGGGGGTGCCCCTGCGCGGCCAGCCCGGCCCTGTGCTGGCGTCTGTGGGGAGGATGCCCAACCCTAACGCACTGCCTTCCACTCCGGGGCTCGCTGGGCAGCACCTCCCAGGGCCACATGCTGGGCCGCGCACACAGATGCCCTCTGCAGGCTCCACGCGCCGTTCTCGGGTGGGCGTGCTGCGGCCCTTATCTGCCCCTCCCTGTGGGAACAGCCCAGGCTGCACTGACTGCAGGCTCGCGGGCGTCTGGGGGCCCCATGCCTCTCACAGGTGCCCAGGGCACACGCCCGAAAGTATGTGGAGCCAGACTCGCCTGGTGCTGCAAAGCCTGAAGGAAAGAACGAGAGCCATGGGCCATGTAGCAGCCCTGTCATTGGGGGGAGGGTTCTGAAGGGGGGGGGGGGGGACTGTGAGTGAGAGCAGTTCGGACACGCTCTCC